GAGAGGAGGAGGATGGGGTTCCCCTTGCTGTGTCCTACTCACCGTGACTTGCAGCAGCACTTCCTCACTGGGCAGCTGCTCACGGTCCAGGGGCTCACTCACACTGATGGCTCCCGTTGTATTGTTGATAACAAAAGGAACACTGGCATCTAGGACAAGGGGACAGCAGGAACCAGTGGCAGCCACTGGGAAAGGCAGGCCTGGCCCTCCCTGTGCCAGCAGGTCAGGCTGGCAAAGCCTGGATGCCCAGAACCAGTTTCCAGGATACCCCTTGCTGCGTGACCACCCCTCCTGCTCATCCCACGGTGTCATCATCCCCTGCCTGCTCCATTCTGCCCCATCACTCACTGGTGATGATGTAGGAGATGTTGTCATTCACCCCTGTGTCTTGGTCCATGGCGGTGACAGTCAGCACAACGGTGCCCTGTGGGGACATGGCCATCAGGGAAGGACCTATGGCATCTCCAGCTGCCCACAGGCCTGCTGGTCCAGACACTTCAGGCCATAAGAGCCCCCAAGAAGGGCCAGGGGCAGGGACATAACACTGGGGCAGGCAGGCTCCTGACCAGGTCACAGTTCTCAGGCACAGAGCCCGAGTAGGGCTCATTGAGGAACCGTGGGTCCAGGTTGGGCACGTCTGTAATGGTCAGGGACAGGTAAGTAGAGCTACTCTGGACGGTCCAAACGTTGTGCAGCCATCCTCCACCATCCTGAGGAGCAGAGCAGAGCAGCTGTCAGTCACACAGCCCCCTTACCTGGCAGCCCTGCACCCCCAGCCTGGATAGTCCCCACCTGGGCGAGGATCTTGATCTGGTAGAAAGTGTTCTTGGCATAGTCCAGGGAACCATTGAGCACCACACTCCCATTGGTCAGGATGTAGAAGAGCTGGAGATTGTTCACATTGTCTGGGATCACCTGAGCAGGGGACATCAGCCTGTGTCACCAAGGCAGGGAGCAGGGGTGTTGCAGCAGAGATGGGGGCTCCATCCCCATCTTTCTGCCAGGCTTGGCCCATGAGGACCCCCAACATTTACACCCAACCACCTGGCTCATCCCCAGCCTGCAACTGAAATCACCTTCCACCCATTGCCCAAAACCTCCCTGCACCCCCAGAGATATGAGTCTGCCCTGGCTGTGTCCCCCAACACCTCAGCAGCACAGGGGGGGCCCAGGGTGGGTTTGGCTGTGGTGTGACCCCCTCCACAGTGCTCTGTGCTCACCTCCTGGATTCTGTAACTGACTTTGGAGGCGTTCCCGGTGTCGCTGTCGTTGGCAAACACGGTGTAGATGATGCTGTGCACAGTCGTGTTCTGGGCACACAGGGGATGATTGGTGGTGACAGAGCAGGGGGTGGTGGTGACAGAGCAGGGGGTGATGCTGTGCCTGGACCCCGCCAGCCCTGCCCTGGTACTGCCCGGTGCCATGGGATGAGCTGCTGCCCTCGCTCAGGCCGGGCAGGGCTGGACCCCCTTCCCACCCTCCCTGGGAGGGCACACCCACCCAGCCCTGGAGCTGCCTGATGGGGTCAGACCCGGCCCCACGCCCCATCTACCCCTTGATCCCGTGTCACCGTGTCCTGGGCTGGCAGGCAGCTTGGGCACACCCTGAGCTCATTGCAAGGGCAGAGTCCCAGCTGTCTCAGGGTGACACAGAGGCTCCCACTGGGAATTGCCCTGGTGACAGAGTGCTCCCCCACGCCCAGACATATTGTCACCACACACCCAGGTGTGAGCTCACGCTGTTCCCAGCCCGTTGTTGTCCCACTGCTGGCACACCCATGCCACATGAGCCACCCAGCACCCCTGCCCTGCTGCTCGAGGTACCTCGGGGATTTCAGTGTTATATGGCAGGTGCTGGAACACGGGGACATTGTCATTGCGGTCCTCCACGATGATGGTGACTTTTTTGGAAACCTGCCAGGTGTCAGAGAGGGCACAAGGATGTGGGAGATGGTGGCCAGCAGAGCTGGGTGCAGTTCTAGCATGCTGTGCCCACCCTGGCTGGCCAGCCAGCATCACCCACCTGCTTCCAACTGCCTCCCCTTGCCCATGGGGGCTCCCTTCCCCCTGCAGCCCCCAGCCCTTGCCCCAGCACTCACCTCAGAGTTTATACCATCTGACACTTTGGCAGTGATGGTGAGCCTGGCCTGGAGCTGAGGGGACACAAGGCAGGACTTGGTCAGGGCCAAGGTGGAGCTCAATCCTCGGATGGCTGAGCCCCAATCTCTGTGTAGGGCTGAGCCCCAATCTCTGTGTAGGGCCGAGCCCCAATCTCTGTGAGCACAACTTTCCCTCCTGGGGTTCTGGGGCCAGGGAGGGACCCACAGGCTCTGCCCTCCATCCATACCCCCAGATTCCCACTCAGGCAGGGACACAGACCCCATGCTCTGCCCTCACCTCACGATCCAGGGAGTTCCTCAGTGTCACTCTGCCTGATTTGGAGTCCACAAGGAAGTAGAAGGCATCTGGCCCTTCAATTTGGTAGGTGAGGGGGTCCTGGTCCAGGTCGTAAGCCTCCAGCTGGAAAGCAAACTGGTCTGGGGGCACAGGCAGGGTCAGAACTCCTCAGTCTCTGCTCTGACACCCCAGAACCTTCTGGAGACCCCCCTACTCACTCAGCTCCAGGTCCTCAGGCACGTAGAAGAGGGTTGAATTGATGATGGGGACGGTGTTTCCTGAAACTACAGGAGAGAGGAGCTGGGACCATCACCGTGCTGGGCACACCCACGCCTGGCAGCAGCTCCTCAGCTCCAGCCCGAGCTCCCAGCCGTGGTTTGGGTCTCCATGGCAGGCAGGGGAGCCCCCAGCCCTTGTGCCCATCCCACACCTGCAGCCCCCATGCTTTCCCTGCTGGCAGCTGATTTGGGGTCACAGCTTCCCCCAGGGAATGGAGAAAGAGTATTGGGGGGTGAAAGCAGCTCCAACACCTCCCACCCACCCACCCATGGCAGATGCCAAGAGAGTCCTTACCTGTTGCCAGGAGGAAGGGGAGTAGCACACAAGAGCGCCATGCCATCCTGCCAGGATGCCTGTGGGCACACAGCAGGGAAGAAGCACCTCAGAGGCTGAGGCTGCCCCCAAACCCCTCTGGGCAGCAGCCACCAGGCCAGGAGAGGGGCTGGTGGGGACAGTCCCCTCTGCTGAGCTGGGCTGGTGAGCAGACACCGGGCTGCACACTGCTCTTCTGGCCGTGGGCTGCCTGAGAACACGGCATGGGAGGGCAGGGGTGACCTCCAGGTGTGCCTGGGGGACCCCAGGAGCCTGTCCTGGGCATGGCTGGAGCTTCACAGCTTGTGCCCAACAGGGCCTGTCCAAGCAGTGCTTGGAGCCCCAGAGTAACCCATGGCATGACCAGGGTGTCTCCCTGCTTGTGCCAGGGCCTGGCAGACAGCTGGCAGACACCCCCCATGCAGCAGGGTGCCCGTGGGGGCCGGGACAGGGGCTGCCATCCCTTACCTGTGGCTGTGTCCCTGGGGATGCTGCCTCTGCTCTCTCATCTTGACGCTGCCAGACCTTTGCCTCCTGCAGTAAACATGTTCATCAATCATTAACTGCAATTAAGGGGTGAGAAATCCCTCCCCCCTCTTGTGTATTCCATGTTCTCATCCCGCAGCTCCCACCCAGCTCATCTCCAGGCTCGCTCCCCAAACCAAGTGCCCAGCTCTCCATGCTGGGTGCTGTCCCTCAGGATTCAGTCACCCCAGCCTGCACCCATGGGACCCCAGCTCCCAGCAGGGGTGTGGAGCCTGCAGAGATGCAGAGGGACCCCAAACCACCCCAGGAGACCAAAGGGGGCTTAGGGAAATGGCCTGCATCCCCTGGGCTGGGGACACTGGGGTCCTACCAGGACAGGGGCTGGGCATCAGCCTTGTGGTGTGGCCACTGGGGCGGGTGCCTGGGGCCCTCTGCACCCCCTGCCACCCACTCCCCTCCCAGGAGCTTGGCCCAGCCTCCCTGACCTACTTCAGACCCGCTGGGACAAGGGTGGATTGTCCAGCTCTGCTGAGGCAGAAAAGGGCTGGGAGGTGGTGCTGGGGGGGCATGGCCAGCCTGTTGGACCCCCGCATCCCTGGCCCTGTTCCCTGGGGAACCCACAGGGCCTGGATGCTGCAGAAACGCTGGAGCCTCTCCACACACTCAGCCTGCTCTGAGGTTCCCATCTCACCCCACACCTGGGTCAGAGCACCCCCAGAGCAGGGGCTGCAGGGGACAGACTGTGAGCACCCCTTAGCAAAGCTCTCCTGAGCAGGTCCAGGACCAGCCCAGCTCCTGCAAAGGAGCTGCTCCAGGACATCCTCACAGACACCCCATGAGCTGCTTGTGGTTACCCCCAGAGTCCCCCAGAGTCCCCCAGGGCTGTCCCGGGGTGCCTCCCCTGAGACTCCAGGGGCTGGTGCTGGACGCTGTTCTGCAAACTGCCCCTTGCTGTCCTGGGGCACTTCCACACCTCCCAGGGCTGTCCTGAGGCATCCACAACTACCTGAAAAGCGGCTGTAGCCAGGTGGGACTCGACTTCTTCCCACCGGCAACCAGTGAAGGTTTAGGTTGGACATCAGGAAGAACTTTTTCACGGAAAAGTTTGCGAGGCACTGGAACGGGCAGCCCAGGGGGGGTGGTGGAGTCACCGTCCCTGGAGATGTTCAAGGCAAGACTGGATGTGCCACTTAGTGCCACGGTCTAGCTGGCATGGTGGTGTTGGGTCATAGGTTGGGCTGCATGATCTCAGAGCTCTTTTCCAGCCTAGCTGATTCTGTGATTCTCTGATTCCGGTGACGGTCCCAGCTGGTGCGCTGCCACTCGGAGCATTACGGCCGCGATCCCCCGGTGCATTTCTTTCGCGCCGCTCTTCGGTTCATTACGGCAGGAGGCGGCGGGCGCGCCCATCGCCGCGGCGCGGGGGGGGAGGCGGTGCTGCGCGGGGAGGGGGGGGGCAGCGCGGCGCGGCCGGTTCCATCGGCGCGGCGGGCGCGGGGGCGCCATGAGGCGGGGCTGAGGCCGGAGCGGGAGCGGCACCGGGACTGGCACCGGCACCGGGACGGACACGGAGCCCGGCGGGCCCGGCCGCCGCGCCATGCGAGCGGGCTGAGGGGCGGGCAGCGCCGGGGCACGGCACCGAGCGCCGGGGGCGCGCCTCCCGAAGGTACGGGGCGCGGCGGCGGCCGCAGGCCCGGGCTGTGCGGGGCCGGGCCGGGGCACCAGGGGGAGGCGGCGGGCAGGGCCCGGGGCTGGGGGAAGGGGGAGGGCGGCCCCGGGGCAGCGGGACGGGGAGGGCGGCGGGCAGGGCCCGGAGCGATGGGGCGGATGCGGGGCTGCGGGGCCCGGTGCGGCGGGCGGAGGAGCGAGCGCGGCCCGGTGCGGCGGGGGCGGCCGGGCCGGGCCCGGTGCGCGGAGGGGGCGGATGGCCGGCGCGGGCGGGGGTGGCGGCTGCCGGGGCATTGGGGTTCGGGGGAGCGGCCGTGAAGCGCAGCCAGGCCCGGTGCAGCCGCAGGGCGGTGGGAGGAGCCCCCGCTGGTGGGGGAGCCCCGCGGGGACGGGGGGGCAGCGGGGAGGGAACCGGAGCGCGGCTGCCCGTGGGGGCTGTGCGAGCCTGCCCCGGCCGGAGCCCCTTCCTGGGGTCTCCCGCGACCCCGGCCCCGGGCGGAGTCAGGGGCTTCTGCTGAGGTGGTTGTCTGGCTTCAGTTGGGGGCTTCTGACTGGCTGTGTCCTCGTCCCGGTTGGCACCTCGCGGTGTCCCGTCCGCCGTTCCCCCAGACCCGGTAAACTGTGCCAGCTCGGGGCAAGCTCCGGTGTGGGACAGGGGACGGGAGGGGAAGTGGTGAAACTCTTCGGAAAGTTGTCCCTGCGGAGGAGGTAGGAAACAGACGAGTCCGAGGTGACGGGGTGGGGGCAGTGGCACCCGGGGTGGGAGCAGTGGCACAAGCCGTGCTGCCGGCCCGGCAGGATCTGTGCTGGCACCCCGGGCTGTGTGTGGGCCCGTGGCAGCCCTGTCCCACGTAGGATGTGTGGGACCGCGCTGTGGGCAGCTGGGATGCGCTCCAGGGTTTGCTCTCCCGGGCGGGAGTTGAGCTCCATGGCTAGGCAGGTTCTGTTTCTCTGTCTGGGGTCAGCCCCTCTTCACAGGAGCGTGGTTCTGTTTTGTGCTGGTACCTTTTCCATCAGCTCTGCACCGGCCCCGTGCTCCAGCACAACTGGCTGTGTGTGCCTGCAGCTCCAGACATCATCCCTGTGCTTGCCTTCTGGCTGTCCTGTGCCAGTGCCCTGCTCTGTCCCTCTATCACCTGCTCCTATGTCGGCTCTGATGGCCCAGGAGCTCGAGGCCGCCCTCGAGGTGGGGTCCTGTGGCCCGGGGAGATGCGCAGGGCAGGGCCCGGCGGGGCAGGTGTGTCCCCGGGGCCAGCAGGAGCCCCGGGAGGAGGAGGAGCAGCTGTCGGAGGAGAGCCGGCTGCGTCTGATGTCACTGCGGTGCATGGTGGGTAATTATGCACGTTGCAATGAAAATAATAAGGCCGGCTCCATAGTGGTGTCTAAAAATACTGCTAATGCGGAGTGCCTGCTGGGCGCCTTTGTTTGTCACCTTTGGGTGTCTGCTCTGGGGCTGGCCGGGTGCTGTCACACCCCTCGAGCAGTGGGTTAGGTTTAGCAGGTGAAATGTGAACCCTCCATTCCCCCCCGCGTCGGGACACGGTGCCAGTGGAGACAGGGCAGGTGTTGGCATGGCAGGTGAGGCAGGAGGCACCTGTGTGTGTTTGGGAGGCTCCAGTGCCACCTCCCTGCACGCAGCCATGCAAGGAGTCCCGGTGGGATGGCAAAGCTTTGTTCCCCAGCCTTGCTTGGAGCTGGGCACTCTCCAAGTGGTGGACAGAAATCTTTCCTGATATCCCCTGGCGAGTACCAGCTGGTTCGAGTACAGATCAGGATTTGGGCCCTGGTGGTGTGGTCTGTCCATCACTGGCATTGTGTGGCCAGGGCAGAGCTCACAGAGCTGGGGCTGCTGGACCTTCCCTCTGTGGTGCTGCCATGGTGTGTCCTGGCAGTGACAGGACTCAAACTGTGGCAACTTGCTGCCTTCTGTGCAGAGGTGGGAGAGAGGGAGGGATATGCACCTGGAACAGAGGGAAATGATGTGATAGGTGCTGGGGGGCACCTGGGTGCTGGCCAAGGGCTGCCCAGCACTTTGATGTCCACTCTGTGGGCTCTGCCTGGATGCTCTCGGTGCAGCTCTGCCTGGTGCTGTGGTCCCTCCATCTGCTGCCAGGCTCTGGAAGATCCTGCAGTGGAGGGAGAGGCTTGCAATGGTGGCAAGAGCCATCTGGAGCCTACTGGCCCGGCAGGCCGGCAGGAGGAAGGTGTTGTGTGTGTGGCAGGGCAGCAGCAGAGGGCTGGGAAGGGCAGGAAGCACTGAGCCCGTGTGCCTGGCTCTCAGTGCCGAGTCCCTTCCGCTTTGTGTGCAGGGAGGTCACAGAGGTGGCGGCTGCTCTTGGTTCCCAGCTGGTGCTTGTGGTGGGCTCTGGCTCCAGCTGTCAGCTGTGGGAGCTGAGCCTTGTCCCTCTTCAGTGTGGAGCAGTCAGGGAGATGTCACCCTGCTGGCATGCTGAGCTGCTTCACCTTTAGGGTCATGGCTGTGTTCTTGGGGCCCTTCAGGAGAGGGAGCATCGCTGCTGCCTCTGTTCTTGCCAGGTGCTCACTCCCACCTCTGAAGCCACACATGGCAGTGGTGTTCCCCTGAGCAGTGAAACACACTGTCCCTGCCTGCTGGGCTGTGTGGCTCCCTTTGGTGAGTGAGGAACAAGGAATGGGGTGGGAGACTTTGTGAATCCCATTGATCTGCACCATGGAAGCTGCGTGTTTGCATCTGCCTGTCCAGACCAGGGCCCTGTGAGGGGAATTGATCAAGCTGTAAAACCTAGAGCCAGCTAATGAAATAGGCACTATAGATTTTTATTTTAAATGGAAGAGAGTTTAGGAGAGATTTAATTATCCTTGGTTTATGGACCTGTTAGAGGAATGAAATAACAGCTGGCAGGTAAGGGCTGGGCTTCATCTTGCATCACTTTTCTCTCAGGTTGTCTGCAGAACTGCCCAAGTCCTGCTGTCCAGGGTAGAGTAGGGAATGATGTAAAGTCACTTGGAGCAGAGTTAGCAGAGTCCTGCTTATCCTGCTGGGTGTCCCTGTTTCCTGCTGGGAGTAGGTGTGCTGAAATAGCAGAGGGGCTGGCCCTGGCAATTGGGGCTGGTGTAAGAACAGCTGTCCTTGGTCCCTGGGGCTTGGGGTGGGCCAGTCCTTGTGCTCGTGGACAGCAGAGAGTTTGGGAGCCCTGTACTCTCTGGGCTGTCTCCCTGCAGGTGTCATTTCCTGGGGCTGTGGGCACTGAGCTCTCACTGGCTCGGGTACCTGCAGTGTGTGGAGTTTGTAAGGGAGAGCTGCAGAGCGCTGGGATTTGCTGGGCTCAGCTGTGTGTTGGACACAAGCTGTAACGCTGTCACTACAGCCACTCCTCCTGTGTGCATCCACTCCACTGTCACGTGGGGCCGGCCTCGGGCACGGCTCCGTGCTGGTGGCAGGCGCACGGCGCTGGCTTTCGGCAAAGAGCCTGGCTTCTGGATGCTTTTGGGGTTTTCACCCCTTTATTGAGGAGCTGGGACACAACATTTTCCCACGATCCCGTGGCTCCATGCTTGGACCAGTCTGGAGAAGCATGGTTTGTCACCTGCTGTGTGTGGGTAATTGGTTGGCCAAGGGGTTTGTGTACCCACCTTGCAGGCACAGCATGTAGGGTGCCAGTCTGATTGTCCAGAGGCTGCTAAAACATCCAAGGAAGCTGCTGGTGCTGGGGAGCTCTGCCAGAGCCCTCCAACATTGATGCAGGAACTTGGGAGAGCCAAGCCCTGAGGTCATGGAGCTGCATGAGGATGTTGCATGGCTCCCTGAGACAGGTCAGTTCCAGAGGGGAACAGTGTGGGTCTGTGCTGTCAGCTCACAAGGGTGTTGGGAGAAGTCAGCCTGCTGGCTCTCTGGGCAGCAGAGCTACACCATGGTGCTTATCCTTTCTTCCACCCTTGCACCTGCAAGTCCTCTGCATTTCAGGCAGGAGCTGTTTCCTGGAGGGCACAAGCAGAACATGGGTCCCATGTCCAGTGTGGCTTTGTCTGGGTTCTCTGGAGTGGAGTGGTTTGGGAGGGCTCCACACTTTGCTCTGTGCATGGCAGAGAGTGAGGTTGAGCGGTGTCCCCAACAAACAGCGCTCGTTGCAGGCTTTGGGAATATTATTTTCTAGCTGCAGGCTGGTCTCTGGAGACCTGCTCTCACTGGCTGCAGAGCTGTAGTTCTGGGTCTTCCTTGGTTACCCTGGAAAGTAGGATTTTAGCTCAGCCATGCAGAGCAGAGGACTGGGCTGCAGTACTGTGTGTTAGGAGCTGCTTTCTCTCGGGTGAGCCTGTGTCCTGGTGATCCAGGCCTCTGGCATCTCTCGCTGTTGCCCCTGGGAAGGGAGGGCCCCGTTCTGGTCCTCCTTCCCCCGAGCCTGGCAGTGCTGAGGCGCGGTGCCCTCTGGCAGGTTGTCTTTCCCCTGCTGGGCTGGTGGGGCTCCCTAGCTGTATTTGCATTTTGAGACAAGTGTCTTAGTTGGTTTTCTCTCCATGCCTGTGCTTTGGGAAAGTGGTGAACAATAAAAATCTGCCGTTGAGAGCTGTAGCAGAGGTCAGGCAGCTCCTGTGCCCCAGGCTGCTCTCTTGTCACCGCAGTTGCGCTTTGTGCGCGGGGGCTGTCAGCTTGAAAGTCGTGTTTTTGTTCTTAAAACCAACCTCAGGCTCTGGTGTGGGGTTCTCTGAGTGATGTACAGGGACATATTGCAGCAAACCTCCTCTGCACTTAGGGTAGTGGTCACTCCCTGTTTTGGTGCATCTTATAAGCAGTCTCTTGGCAAATTTTTAATCAAGGACAAAGGAGGGTAAACGGTTGCTGAAAATCCTGAGTTTCTCTGAGCTCCTTTCTGAAAATGATCGTTGCAGGTTGTCCATGTCCCTGCAGGCTTCTTAAAATGCAAAACAAACCACCCAGCCCAACTTCCTGACTGTCACTAGTGCTTTCAAGAGACGCTTCGTTTTGCTGAGTGGTAACGAAGCTGCTCTTTGCCATCCTCC